ATCTTTCAACGCACATACAGAAGGGTTTACCTACAGGTAAATCCAGTTTTCGAAGTCGTCGACGTATTGCCAGGCACCGCTGTCGTGTTTTTTTGTATTTCTACCGATTAATCGACACAAGCCTTTTTTGAATGATTAACAAATTGTGTGGAATCCAACGTTAACAAACTTTCTTAACGGTCATATGTTCATGCATTGTATGCTGTTGCCACTAATGTCTATAGTTGTTTCAATCTCAGGATGAGTCAAATGACGAACTTGCAATATCAGTTTCCGCGAAATATTTGTACGACTTTCCCTCCTTCCTCTTGGCGTGATCCATGACCTCGATTGAATTCACGATACCATCCATAAACACAGGTCCTTCTTGGAGCTTCTTCGTCAAAAATTGAATTGAATTCAGTGATGCACAGTTGCTGAGTTAATTCACGGCGGAAGTTGTAAATAATAAACGCGCAAAAATGTTCGATATTTAACTAAGTTGGACGATGAATATTTTAAGCTACTGTAAATAATAGAAATAACACTCCTTTGTGAAAAATTCTGAGTATGTATGGAAACAAAAATGTCAAGCGAAATGACAGCGTTTTCAAAATGCATAATGTTGCTCGTTAAATTCCAAAATATGAATGACAACCCTCGTACAATATAACTTTCTGCATCATACCATTTCATTGAAGTAATCAAATCAAATTAGTAGCAAGTCAAGCTAGTCTATGCCATCGACCGGTTTGGTACCAAAGGAAAGAAATGCTAGATGTATCGGTATGGGTGGCATGAAATGCGATGATTATTATCATTCAGTTGTTCCTTATATGCTGTGCAAACGTTGGGTAAGTTAAGCTCGAGTCTGATTAGCTAAGAGTTAAGTCTATCACGGTATGCAGAATTCAAAAGAGCTTAGATTACTCTGGTCGCACGTGACGCTGTTCAGCTATAGTTGTTGTAGGACTGATGAGTTAAGTTAGTAAAAATTCCCGAAATTTTGTTTGACTTCAGCACTAGCATAAAGCGGAAATCCAGATAATATCCACCTATACATGCCCCAATGATACTCAACAAGCAATCCCACTTTATTCAGCACACGCAGTGAACATACAATACTTTATTCCTATTGACGAGGAATAAAAATGTAAGCAAAAACCAAACTGATAAACTGTTTCTCTCCACAGTAGTTCACTAGCAACTGACAGTCGATATATCGTTGATAGCCACTATCACCAGACAGCGTTCATTTATGAATACATATATGTACAAAAGAAGGAAGGAAAGAGTAACGTCCACAAGTGATAGTGAAAGAGTGAGTGACGGAAGATAAGTATTATGCGCCAAGATACATACATACGTGTACGTATATACCATTGCCGCTCCTATATCATATAGTTGGCATGGAAATATGAGCGCCTTGTAGAGTTTAGTCACTGTTCGTCGAGAGATACTAAAAAGTAACTTAGATCCTAGATCAAAGAAATTGCTTGCCACTTCGAAATAATTACTATTAAAAGTTATTTGCTTTTATTTAATTTTTTTATTTCACTTTTTTTAATACATTAAAAAAAATTTACTTTATTTTATTTCATTCAATATTTTTACATTGTTTTATTTAATTTTATTTTATTTTATTTTAATTTATTTAATTTTAATATTTTTTTGTATTTTATTTTATTTTATTTTACTTTATTTTATTTTATTTTATTTTATTTTATTTTAGTTTATTTTATTTTATGTGTCGGAATGTGATGACTGTTTCTTTGAAAACAAGAAAATACGGAAGTCTTGTCCTCACCTTTTTCATTACCAAACCTCTTTTGCCTCACTTTCTTATTCACTCTTTCGAAATCAAAATTAACATTGCAGCTACAATGATATCGATATCTTCGACAAACGTCAAAAGCTACACGCTTCTCCGCTTAACACTGTTGCTCATATTATTGTAATTACGGTTAAATTCGTCCTTTATTCTGCAAGCAATAATGCAAAAGTTTGTGGCATCAACTCAGCTGTTCCGTAGTTCTGAAAACAACATATGTTTGAGTGTATTAACTTCTTAGTCCATAGTTTTGTGCATAACTTTAACCCCTATATATGTACTTTCTATGTAATTTACTCACAAATATAAACTTATATTACTAGATTCATGTTTTTGGGTATATAAATATCACTATAGATTTCGATGTGAATTTCTTTTTACGCTTTCACTATCTCATTTTTCAATTCGATTCTCACATTATTTAGTTATGTGCTTACAATATAAATGGTATACGTGTGTGTTTGGCAGTAGGTCAAGATTATCGTATATTCGTATGTATATATGTATGAATGTACATAGATATTTATGAACGTGCACAACTGACGTGTTGAAGTGCAAGAAGGCCCAATGAACCCGTCACATTACGAACAGTTAGCTGAGGAAGTGTGTGTAAAACTTACGGCATATCATACATGCTTAAAAGCGCACACATGTGTAAATATATATACATACGTACAATACAAACACACAATCAATGCCACGGCGACAAACAGTGGCCAACAATGAAGGAAAAATATACGAGGTCTGCAAATAACAGTTGAAAATGATAGCATAAGTAGCAGAAATGTACTCACATACATAAATCCTCGCATTATATAGACAACTTTACTTATACGTCACAGTCTAGCCATCTGCTATCTTCTTTGAACCTCAGAAAGTCCTTTAATATATATATGTACGTTTATATGGATGTATATATAGGTCTGTGCAGTCGTGCATGCAAGGGACGGCATGTTGCAACTTCAAGGCTGCAATTTACTTCCGCTGTCAGTTGATTGTCTCAAGCTTACCACACACACACACCCGCTGTTTACTTACACATCTGTCCAAGCCCTCACACTCTCATATACATAAATATTGCTCTTTTCTTTATTTACGAGTCTGCAACTCGCTGTCTGTTTGCTACAACTCATCTGTTTGTCCTTTTCAGCTGTCGGTTTGTGCTTTCCTCATTGCCCTGTCTTCGAATGAATGTTCGTACATACACTAATATGTATGTGCGTGTATACATTGTACCTACTTACTTGAAACCTTAAAGGCACATGCTGTGAGTCCTTGTGCGTATTATTCTTTCATTTTTAGTGTTTCTGTCATATATTTATATTTTGGATCTCTTATGAGATACGGGTATAGGTCTTACTAGTAAATTATTTTCGTTGCTGCTTACATTGCATACACACCTAAGCATATATCTATAAATGAATATATCTATAAATTAATACCCTTACATATGAGTCGTTTACTATAACACAAATTATTGACTAAATACACAAACAGTTATGTAACGTACCTTTATCCTTAAAATACAAAATAATCCTGCATACAACGTAATGTCCTAAAGCTGCAAATATTTTTTCAGAAGGGCAGAATAAAAACAAAAAATACTGGTTCGCTCTTTAGAGAAATTTTTCTCAATGTTTTCCCTTCCGCTTGACAGGCCTTAAGTTGTAGGCCTCCGCTGATGGATCATTGCAATAACCCTTAAGTTTGTAAGCCAAAAATAGACAGCAGAGAGGCAACTGAATTTAGAAGAAACCTATTTCAATAAGATTCAATTAGTTAAAATTTTTTAATGTTCTGTTTTCTAAATAATTTTATTTTAATTTATTATAGTTTATTTAATATAATATAATATATAATTTGTATTTGTTATTTTATTTTATTTTATTTTATTTTATTTTATTTTATTTTATTTTATTTTATTTTATTTTATTTTATTTTATTTTATTTAATATTATATTATTTTATTTTATTTTTTTATTATTATTATTTTTTATTTTATTTTAATTTATTTCATTTTAAACTAACTGCATTTTTCACTGATAATTATGGTTAAGTAATATTTAGTGGTCAAAATTGTGATATTTGACTACTGGATATTTTCTTTGTACTAAATAATTATATTTTTCAGGGTAACAATTACTGGTACACGTATTTGCATTTGGTAGTAAATTTCATTAAATTTTATATTCAAATATATATATCAATAGCACATTGTGTAATTATTCTCTTTGTAGAGTAAAGAGAGTTTAAGCTCAAACTGCTTAGACAGTGTAGACTGCAGGACACATCAGAATGAATGTTTCATAATTAGAATTGTTATTGTGATAATTTTATGCTGAATGACATACTATGTATTTACGAGTGTATGAAATTAATTAATTTATATGCAATATTCAGTTATTTGCAGCTTTGCCTTTATTTAACCTTTAATTTTATTGTTGTTTCAGCCTGTGACCAGGTGTGCACTATGAATAGAGAAATTCGTAGAATTGTAAAATTAATACTTGCAGTTATATGATAAATTGCTTCACGTCGCTTGGTTGTAACAACGGGGAAGCATTCAAGAGTTTTTAAATAAATATTATACAAATTCTTAGCAATACTATTGTACTAGTATTTTAATTCCGAGCAAAGAAAAGATATGAGATTTCTTTCAAAGAAAGTTTCACATTAGAAAAATAATGATAATTTCCTCTAAACAACTGTGTTGATAATTACTTTCAATTAATCAAAAACGAGAAATAACTAATGTGCACAAGACAGATTGGGACGAATGAAGGCTAATGTAATTTCAGTTTCAAATATATTCGCTTATTCATTGATACAAAATTACAACATAATCGAAAAATCTGATTTTCTCTCATTTTTAATTAAAAACTAATTGAATTTACTGAACTTATGGAATCTTTGCTTAGTTTTGTATTTTTATTTCAATTAAATATATTTAAAATTTGCGATTAATTTAATTTGAAATCATGTACGTACTGCATGATTCCTAATAATTTGCTAGAGATTTCCGAATTACTGAGAACAACGACCGTTAAAGACGCGCCACCCTACGAGGTTGTATATAACCTATATATAAACATGTATAGTACAATACATACAGGTTAAGTACATAAATCTTGTTTACGCTATTAATGAAATTAATTTCACTTGCATGCAAAAATGTTATAATTTTAATTACCTGTCGACGGTGAGTATATGACCGTCACGCACACGCACCCAGGACACTGATTTGTTGCCAAGCTGCTTCACCTGGAAATATTAATAAAACCAAGAGTAAAATATTAATTAATTAACGGATGTAGCTGTATCAGTCCGTGCTAACGGAATAAAAAATAATGTAAATTTTGCTTGCATAGAAGTTGTGGTATTTATGTATAGGTGAGTTCAAAACACAATATGAACTAGAAACCCCGTGAAGGTGCAAAATATGTCGAAATCTAAGAAAACAAATTTTCAATAAAATAGGATTATTAATGTTGTAAAAAATTAAGTATTAATCACAAAAACAAGTTTAATAAAAAATAAGTAAATATTAAAAGAATTAAATAAACAAACCTTATAATATATAGAATAAGTAAAGCTTACTTAAAGAATTACATAAATTTTGACAAAACAGTTAAAAAAAATCGTCATAAAATAAATAACATAAATAAAAATAATCTCAAAAATTATATGAAGCAAATTAATCAAAAAGGGGTAAGTTAAAAAAATCAATTAAGTAAATTAAAGTAAAATAAAATAACATAAAAGTAATCAACATGAAATGAAATAAAACAAAGTAAATAATACAAAATAACAAAATTAAAATAAAATGAATTTTGCTTCATAATAATAATAAAAAATCAATAATTAAAAAAAAAAAACAAAAATAAAATTAATCAAAAAAATTATGTAAAGCAAATGTGTTAGAAAACAGGAGAATATTAAAAAAATTCAATAAAAAAAATAATATAAAACAATTTAAAACAATATAAAATAAGGTAAATAGCATAAAGCAAAAAAACATAAAATGATATAAAATAAATTGCAAATAAAAAGTTAAAAATTAAATAAAAAAAATTTATTTTAATAAGCAAACTACGAGGCCTGGGTAAAAAAATTATAATATAAAATAACTAAATTAAAATCAAATGAAGAAAATAAAATGAAATAAAATAAAATAAAATAAAATAAAAAAAATAAAATAAAATAAAATAAAATAAAATAAAATAAAATAAAATAAAATAAAACAAAATAAAACAAAACAAGTTAAAACAAAAAAACATAAAATAAAATGAAATAAAATAGGAAAAAAAAATAAAATAGAAAAGAGGAAAAAAGTTTAAAGCACTACTTATAGACTTAATTCTTTAGTAATGTTTTCGTGTTTTAATATATATTAGACTTCCTTAAATAGAAAGAAAAATTTAAAATGAAATCAAGACAAAGTCAAACATTTTCAAACAAAATAAATTCATATATAATTAAATAAATTAAATGAAAATAAAATTAAATTAAATTGAATTAAACAAAAATAAATTACGTTATATTAAATTATAATTAAAATAAAAAAATTGATATAAAAAAAAGTAATTTAATAAGAATATACAGAATATATTAAAATAAAAGAAAAAAAAAATAAATAAATGAAAATGAAAATTAAGTCCAATAAACATTTAATTACTGACACTTTGTTGATTTTAATGGATTTCATATTTGACTTGACTTAATGAAATGGTTACTTTTTTTTGTTTTTTCTTCTTTTAGCTACCAAACGAACATACCCATCACATATCACCTAATACATAAATAAACAAATGTATATATTTGTATATGTAAATTATACATAAATATAGATATTAGATTTGAGCTTACACGTATATTAAAATAAACTCCCAGTTACATGTGAGTACACTGGGCACTCAATTTACTAGCTGTTGAGTACAGCAACCACAAGATTAAAATAATTATATGTCCATACATATGCAGCCTACAAAATTTACGAGTCGATAAAATTGTAACCCAAAAAATAATCACAATGAATACAAATTCAAGGTCCAACAGCAATGATTAAGGGCTGAGGCAAACCCATATACTCCACCACGATTAAGAGTCCCTTCTAAGAAGAGCATAAGTGGTTGTAGTATTTTTGTTTTTAAATGTAAATATGTCGTAAAATCTTTCAGGCGGTAATGAACTAGTATTAAGCTAGTATAATGCTGAATCAAGTCGCACAATTATATGATATTGGAATATGAAAATGCCAACAAGTTGTGCTTTAACTCTCAGCTGGTAACTTTCCATGGTTATTATATTATGTACGTCCATTCATATCGCCATATACACATACATACAACTCTAGTAGGTTGCGTGTTATATGTAAATTATTGCAGGTGCTGCTGCATATGCTATAATTCACGCACCCTTTACAACATAGCAGCAACAACAACAATCACAACAATATAAATAAAATAGCCATAATGTTGTATGCATTTACTTGACTATACTGTTCATATACGTTTATATATATGTATGTATATACGTGTATACATACATATCGATTCATTATTTGCTGCCGGCGAACCCATAATTTACACGTAATTTCCACCTCGCATGTTAATCTTCATTGTGCCACAAACATATTCAGGTTAATCTCCTTTGGCTTAATTCAACTTTGATCCCTTGCTTTGTACATTTGACGTTTGAGTGAATTACTGGTTTTGGGTGGTGCATAATTTGTCAACAAGCATAACAGTGATTTGCTATGAATTAAAAGCTCACATATATATGTATATAAATATATGCTCCTCAAATGGCAAACCACCAATGAAATGACCAACAAATGAGAACTTTGGTCACACCTTTCTTATTATGGGGGAAAATGTAAATGTAAGTAGATTTCCGATAATTGGTCAATTAAATATTTATTAATGAACCGATTCTAATACATCGAAAAATAAAACAACTAAAGCAGACTAAGTTCGGGAGGGAACCGAAAAATCCACTTTGGAAGGCATTCGGGCGGAGAAGATGGTGATTGTAGGGCCTAGATTAAGTAATATTATTCTTAAGAAAAATTTCTAGGTCATTTGCGTAGTCTGACTTTCCGTAAAATTTCAGTGCATGAGAAAACTTTTGAATAAATAAAACAACTACAAATGTAATTTGTATATTTTCAGCGCTTTTTAACAGTTGAGTATTTTTTTTTTTTTTTGGTCTAGTGACCTCTGTATGAGATCTGATTTTGTATCTATAATTTCGTTTCCTTGAAACTGCATCAGCAACTGGTATCATATAATTTTGCTTTAAATTTTTTTAATCATCAAACTTTTCTTTAATTATTTAAGCGCTTTAAAATTGGGTAGTTGAGAATCCATAGTAGAAGAAAAAAATAATAATTTTTCAACGCAGTCTCTGAAATCTCATAATTAGTAATTTGTGTTGCTGCAATTTACCACCGTTTCTAATTTCCCTAAAGGATTTGCACTCATTCAAATCTAAACGCAAGCCAGGCACTTTAGAATGCATTTAAAGCAAAAAACCAAAAAAAAAAAAGTAAAAAAAAAATTAAAGAGAAAATCACGCACTCATTTCAACATGAGAATGTAATTAAATGCTTAAATTGTGCGAAACTGCATATGGCTGCATAGTGGCTACACATATACACAAGTACTGGTATCGCAGAACAGAGTAACCCAGTATATAATTTCATGCAAGAATTGTCTGTTCTCATCAGCTTGACGGCCACATAAACAGATTTATAAGACTGTTGCAATGGCCATGTCGGGGAAGCTATGGCTAGTAGCTCAAGCCAGAGTGAACAAGCAAGGTATCTCCGAATATACCCGAAGAAAATTACCTAAGCATGTTCTCCTAATTTATAAAAAGTTGAAGACAAAAACTATGCCGATTAACGTGGAATGCGCGCTTGGTATGAGTGATTATCAAACCAACTCTTCAGTTATTTTAAATATATATATAATAGAAAGCTCAGAAGACCACAGCCGCCACACCTCTCTGTCTGAATTTGCTAACCCCACAAAGCGTTGGGCAATAACAGCAGCGCAGTTTAGATGTTTTTCTCTCAAATGGAAAGAATTTTATTCACAAAAATAATTTTTTTCATGTCAGAAATAAACTCGGACGGGTTGGAATTCCCTGCCGAGGCGCGACCGGATCTAGAAAATTTAGCTCAACTTTTTATTTATATAAATTTTCCATAATTTTGGTATGTTAAGCAAGTTTTGCTTGTTTTTGTCAAGAAAAGAAGCAAAGCCAATGCGTACCAAGTCGGTACTATTAGTTTTCGAGCGAAAAGTCTTCACCTTTATTGTAGTGCTGGAATCAAGGTAAATTAATAGAAGGTGTAATTGCCACATCATGTGCTTGCTTGTGCTTCTTTCCATTTCAACAAATTACACAAACAAAATATATGGTAAATAGGTTTTATTACGAGCTTATTTCACCAACAAAGTACATTGAACGAATTTCGTTTTTGACTCTTCGAAACTACGATTACACAAACAAAACTACATGGGTTATTTGTTTTTGTATTCATGCTACTGCCGTGTGTAAAATTTGTCTTGGCTGGAATGATGAGTTAGTTTACAATAACATAGTTCAGCGAACAGTGACTGCGCAAGCTAGTTGAACTCTTCCAAATGTATGAAAGCACTGCAGCTGTGAGAGGAATCGATGAATTAGCCGCTGGAAGGAAGGGTCAACTTCGGAACGATCTGGTTTCCCTTGATATTTCCAACTCACTCCAAACAGTGAGAAAACGATACAAAATAATGCGTTATTGTGAACTCTTTTCAAATTTAATTAAAATTTGACCATTCGCAAGAGTAGTTGAACGATTGTATGCACTGTAAAATCCTCATGAAGCACAAAACCTGGCCATCTCTTCTCCAACAAATGTAGTTTTTTATAGTTTACTCTTAGCCGCCTCCAATTGACCGATGGATTTTTATGTGGAGCATTTATTTGATATCACAAATGCATTGGAAGGGCTTGATGTTTCCTGCCGAGGAGCGACCGCAAAACTCATTTAAAATATCTTTTATTTTAATCTAATATATGTTTGGATGTTGCGAATATTGCGACTACTCATACAAATATTTGCCTACGCTGAAAATTGCTATTGGGGAAAAGTGTATACATGAAGACTCGGCAGAATTTAAGTCGTAACACATTCCGCTCTCCAATATATAGTGAAATGATTATCGCTTCTGTACGTAAATATATCTGAATGTCAGTATGTACGTCTG